GGGGGGGGGGGGGGGAAAAAAAAAAAGAAAAAAAGGAAAGGGGAAAGGAAAAAAAAAAGGGGGGGAAAAAAGAAAAAAGAAAAAAAAGGGGGGGGGGGGGGGGGGGAGTTCTATATTGTCATTCGACATGTCATCACCATTTGGCTCCCAAAGAAAAAAGAGAAAACAAAACTTTCTTCTCACCATTTATGGCAAGAAAGATAATCATAAGTATTTTAAAAATTACTTGAACTATTAGTGTCTATACTTATGTACCTCGAGTTACTAATTTAAATATAGGAGGAACTAGATCGAGAAACCTCCCTTGACCTTAGTCTGTATGGTCTTTATGCAATTGACACATTGAGAACTTAGATATTCTTATTTGGGACATTTTTATAATAATATTTTTTTCTAACCCCTTATAATATTTTTTCCTAAGTTTGAACCACATAGGGGTAACTAAGACTTCAATAATATTTTTTCCTAACCCCTTATAAACAAGTTAAACTCATTCACTTTGAAACTTGTTAAAGTAATTATATACGGAAGTAGAGAAGTAGTAGGTTTTTAAAAGATGGGATAAGCTCTCTTAGTTTATTATGTCACAACGTCGATTTAGGTGTTATATATATATATATATATATATATACTAATCTCACTCCTGCTTTAGCCGAAAAATAAGAAAAAGGAACTATTGGCATAATTGAAAGCGAAGTGTTACTTTAACTCGGCCGCCCCCACCCTTCAGCGCGTTACACGCACAATCTTTTCTTTTCCTTGCGTCACGTGCACCGGCGGGCCCACACAGAGAAAACGGAAGGGCTTGTCGAAGGAACAGTAGCCGGTGGGTGCATTAAAGTGCACCTTCCTGCGGCCGCCGCACAATGCTACCGTCCGCCGCTTCGCTGCCTCCTTTTTATGAAAAGTCCAACACACACACGCATGCATACATACATATATACATACCAACAACCACTCCACGTCCAACCCATTAAAATAACCGCAGGTGAAAGGGATTAGTAGAGGGAAAGCAAGAGTGACGAGTCTCTCCGCCATGCACGATCTTGCGTCGGCGTCCAGTTCCAGTTCCAGCTCCAGCTCCAGCTCCAGCTCCACCTCGGTGATGTCCATCGACCATGGCAGCGGCTGATCTCGGCTCTGCTCCGCATTCCGTGGCGCGCGCGCCTCTTAAGGGCATAAACATCACAAGAAAGGAATCCTTCCAAAAACATGTTAATAGTTACACAGTCGTCCGATCTCTCCTCGATCGATGACTACAGTACTGCCGACTGCAGTCTGATCTACTCTACAGCTACTGGCATTAACTCTAAACAAAGACGGACCTTACACAGGAAGAAAGAAAGAGAGAAGGGGAAGAAACGGAGAGAAGGCACGTGCAGTTGAAGAGCTGATCAACCGATCAGCAGCGACGAAGACGGCGGCTCGTTAAGATCGAAGGGCAAATCCCTCCCTACATCCCGGAAGCGGGAGGCTGACGACGCCGGTGGTTGAGGAGCCGCCGCCGACGCCGCCTGTCTCGCTGCCGGCGGCAGTGCCTCGCGGGAGTCGTAGCCTGCGAACCGGCCCAGGACCAGCGCGGTGGACGGCGGAGGTGGAGGAACGGCCGTCGGCGGCGGAGGGGAGGCGAGCCAGAGGTGGCAGGGGAGGTTGAGGTCGAAGGCGGCGGAGGGCGGGAGGGGCTGCGGCTGCAGGGGGGTCTGGTAGGGGAAGTTGGTCTTGGCCTTGGCGCCGCGCAGGGAGCGGGCGGCGCGGTCGTAGGCGAGCGCGGCCTCCTCGGGTGTGTCGAAGGTGCCGAGCCACACCCGGGTCTTCTTCCACGGGTCTCTTATCTCCGCTGCGTACCGCCCCCACGGCCTCTTCCTCACCCCCCTGTAATGGTGCCCTTCCCCTCTCGACCCCATATCTATTTTCTCCCACCCCTCGTCTCTCTCTTTCTACCTTATCTTCTCGCAGGGGCGATGAGGAGAACGGAGAGGACGGGAGAGACCAACGAGGCGTGTTGCCCTCCCTCAAAGAGACCCAACCAAAGAAGAGACAGAGGAGGGGAGAAGAGCCGCCGCCTGATTTGACGTGTCGCAGGGGGTGTCATGTGACTACCCTCTCCACGGCGCGCACACCACCACCCCCACCGCAGCCTGACGTCAGCCCTACACACCTCTGCAGTCCCCTCCATCTGCTGTACGGACTGCGGACGGCGCCTGACACGATTATTATATATCACTCGCCACGTTTCTCTCTCTCTCTCTCTCTCTCTCTCTCATCGCTGTCCCACGCACACACAGCAATCTCTCTGGGCGCAGATAAAGTGGGAGGAATAAAACCAGTAGGGGGGAGAGAGAGAGAGGCGGAGGAAGGACGGAGTCGGGCCATTGGGCTCGGGGTCGTGTCGAGCGGTGGGTGGAGGGAAGCGAGTGGTTCAGCGTGGGGCCGCTGCTGCCGCCTCTGATGCCCCACGTGGAGCGCAGCGGTGCCGTGTCGTGGGGCGGGGAACAGCACGGCCATATGACGCGTGTATGCGTCTCTCCCGTGCGAACGCGGGCAGACGAGAGAGAGAGAGAGAGATGTGGCGTTTTAACTGCTTCGCGGGTCTGGCTTTGTTGACGTATGAGCCCCATCCCCGCTGCTCCACTTCCCCGACTTTATTGGCTCAGTGGCGCAGTAATGGCTGTCGTCGTCTCCTCCCCGTGGACGGTGAGGCGCACCAACCACGATAGTAAATGCTGTGAAGGAGGAGGGCTTGCAGTCGTACGTTTCATATTATTTTATTGCTGCCTGTGAAAGAGACCTTTTAAAAGGGGCAAGCGAGGGGCCCGGGGGGAGTGTGGTTCATGGGGCGGGGTAACCCGTGAGGTGAGAGGAAGTGATGGCGTCCTCGGGAATGCATGAGCCCCCCCGGGCGGGGAAGGGGGGGGCACCGATGGTTCATATGACACGTAACCCAGCGTGGTACATCGGGGCGCTGCGAAGTCTTCCTGTGAGGAGGCAGGTGTTGTGTGTTGGCCGTGGGGGAGCTGATGGACTGAGAGAGACAGCATACTGCTGCACGACAGCGGTAAAAAGAATCGACGGGACGCGAGCGTTTCCGCCGTGCCCGCCGCACGTTTGGACTCCGAGGATGAGCACACCAGCTTCGCATGTGCTCAACTTGTCCACTTCCAACACTGGGTCGGGCCTCCATGGTCGGTCGGTCACCTAATACTTCTGTTTCCACGGGTGAACAATTCACATATAATCAATAATAATGATCCACCAAATGAAACCCAAGAACATAAATTCAACATCAAAATAGTTTACGAGCTGATCCACGTCAAAACATCGTACACTACTACTACTACTACATATATTTATACCACCAAGGAGAGCAATGCCAAACCATGAGGAAGTCAAAGCCGCAGGGAGCTCTCCTAACTGTCATCAGCATCACTCCCGCTCGGACGGGTATCGACGTAGAACTCCAAGTCAGTTCCATCAGCTATTCTACCCCTGCAAAATGTCGAGGTAGCCCGCCCATCAATTCCTCCCCGCAGATTTAACAGAATCAAATCTTGGAACAACCACAGAGTTACCTTTCCAAGACAAATTTTCCTTCTTTGTACTTTTGGGTCTTCTCTTGTGCGACCACCTGCGTGTAGGGTTTGCATGTCAGGATTAACTGCACTCGTTAGCTCAGTGTTGGAGCAAGAAAATAACATCCCACTAAAATCATAATAGACGCTTTCACAAATACTTCCATACATTAGCGCATTCCACATGGCTCAGTTTGTCAAACATGATCGTACCCGGTTACAATGTGTTAGCCCGCATATAAAATTGACTTCCAACAGCTTTGAGATCATCATCTACGATGGAAAGCCTCAAGCTTAAATTAGGTTTTCTGTTGATCTTGTCAGCATTCGCGTCCAAACATTAAATAAAAACAGAGGAGCCTCAGAAAATGATGTAGATACTTACGTATTTCCAACCAACATTTTGTCCACAGCAGCAGCAGAAAATGTCAGCTACGGTGTGCATTCCAGAAAACAGCACTCTCTCTTCTTCGTCTCCGACAGAGATATTTGTGCTGCACAAGTTAGAAGATTTTAGATGGAAATAGTAGAAAATAGGTTTCAGAGCATTTACAGATATGAAATGAACAGCAAGTGGTGAGGGATCCACAGGTTTACGTTCTAAACTAGTGGCCTTACTATAGCCACCACACAGCATTTCTATACTGATTTTAGAGCAATTCTCGCAAGAGGTACAGCTTATGGTTAGTTTGATTGAGTGAGTATCAAAAGATAAAAAACTCGTTGGCGGCAGAAGAACAACACAAGTGGGAGTGTATCCTGATCAACAATGATGTAAGCTTGTTTGATAGTAAAGTAACACTCAGCTTGCTTCTTGAGAAAATAACATAAATTAAAACTTTTCTATTGTAGAAAACAATGGAAAGACGAGGATTATTAGTTGTTTGACTGAGGGAGAGAATATAAGTAAACATTCATAACACAACTGTTTTGGCCAATAACTATTTCTTTTCTTTTCGAAAAAACTAACTTCATGGAATGTCCTAATAGACTTCTTCTATCATTCTCATGGGAACCAAAGTGTGTAAATAAACTCACTACTTCTTATCACTGAACCAGGAATCTGGGTGCTATTGGGAAAAAGCTGCCAAAGCAGTCACCAACAGGTCCAAGAGAGGCTACTACTACAAGAAATGAGCCAAAAAGAAAAATTGCACAAACATCTAACACAAATTGAGAGATTTGTCTTTCTTTATCCTCTTCTCTCTCATCCACCCCATACCTGTTCCCTCAAACTAGTACGGTATGCCGTCTGACAAGCTATACCCGGCTTTCAAATATGAAAGACAATTAGTTTGAGATATTGCACCTTTCTCATGCAACTTCCAGTTTTTTGTTGAATAAGCAAAGTCCGAAATGAAATCGCAATCTAGCATAAAACTACACAAGAAATTTGGCATCCAAATTCCAAAGATTATCAAGCTGACACTACTTTTAGTATTTTCCAAATGCAAGAAGCTATTAATAGTTGACATTTAATCTGCAAAGAAGCTACATCAAGACAAACAGTTTAATACAAAAAAAAAGGAAAGATAATAGTTTATATCAGCCGTGTCTGGAATAGATAAAAGTGCTTGAAATTCTATATCATAACCTCTTGTAGACACCCATAAATTAAATTCAAGCACTTGGTTTAAGTAGAACTCTTCTCCGCTCATAAATCTTACTTCGAGCAAATAAAAAAATCCTAGTTAAATTAAGATAAATAGACGAGGCCAAAAGTTTAACAGCTTGAAACATACAAGATGAATTTCTGTCCACTATCATTTATAAGTACGAAGCCATATCTATAAAAATGCTAAAGTCAAGATTAAACTAAAGTTGAGCAACAGTATATTATTTGAAATATAAAATGTGAAAAAAAACTTACCCATGATTGAACAGGTACGCCTTCCCATGACGACACTGGAAAGACTGTTCCATGATTGAAAAGAGAGAGAGAGAGAGAGAGAGAGAGAGAGAAAGTTAATGAAATAGATTTTTGAGCAAAAATTTACGATAAGGCACGGAATCAAATTACAGTAAACATATGCATGTAAATATGACAGAATTATTTTATGTATAACAGAGATGAACAAGTCACTAAACAAGCAAAGAAACAAATTAAATTATCTAAGAATTAGAATGACGTACTCCTATAGAATGGAATTACTAAAGAAAGGTCTCAGCAAAGAAATCTAATTTTTGTTTCTCCTCCCTTAGAAATGAAAAAACATGTCATGAGAACAAGACTGTCCACATATCAATGAACAAAAAGGGCAACCCGAACCAAATTGGTCATATTAGTTGGCCAAACAGAGTTATCTCAAAAACGATGATGTAGTAAGAGGCAGACACTTGGTTGCCTTGGTTCTGGATGGAGCATATAGCCTAGAGTACCCAAAAGATCATTCGCATCATGCAATGATGAATGACAGAAATTAAGATGCTTGCAATTACACTCAGAACTGTTTGTACATCCCGACTGCCTGCTGTTCATTTGATTACTGAAGTAAAAAATCTCATCTGTTACCTAGGGGTCAAGCATCTAAAACATGCCTACTGAATGAATGGTTTATCCGATCCAGGAAATGAGGGAGCAGTGAACTTTTCAACCCACTTATAATCCATCAACAGGTGCCTAGATATTACCATGAAAATTTGGCAAGAACATCGAGAAATTGAATGACAAACATGAACGTACATACTGAACATGCTTTGTCAACCTATTATTGAGTAATTACTTTGGGTTCGGCAGAATCGGCAGCAGTAGACCCTCCCATCCAACTCCACCATAAAAATTCTCCCCATCTTCCTCTCTCTCTCTCTCTCTCTCTCCTCTCCTCTCTTCTCCTACAAACCCAAGCAAAAACCTCACCTTGGATTGCTCGGTTAGGATTAAGCAACGAGATGGGTCGTGGTCCGCTTTGCTTCACTGCCACGCATCTGTGTTTGGGGCCGCCTCCGTTGTGGTGGTGCCACATGGTCGTGGTCACAACAGCTATGACTCGCAAACATTTCATGTGGCTCACGCACGCATGACCATAAGTGCCATCTCATGGGCACATCATAGAAAACCCATTTCCACGATAGGTTTTATTTAGACACTCAACAAGGTGCATAATTATATCTGACATATGAATCGGACTACTCGTATCCGAATTTTTTACCGCTACACTCTGTAGACCGACTTAGCTGAGGCTATGACTCTTCTGGGTTCTTCGGAGAGGCTGAAGGGTGAGGGTGAGAGTGGAGCAAAATAGTATATTCTAATTCTATAAAGTGGATTGACTAACTCTAATTTCTTGGTATATAAAGTCCGAGACATTTTGAGATTGGCCAATGAGGTCATTGTAAATGTTTTATATATTTTGAATGTGATTCTAATTGGGGAAGGATTCATTGTGTATTACGCTCTTGGGGAGGAGTTTTTAATTGGGCAGATATGCCTAACCTTTTTGTAGCCGTTGGCTAATTATCTAATGTAGTTGTTTTCTTTTTCTTAAAAGAAAAATAAAAGGATGAGTTGTCACACCTGTTAATTGACAAGTAAAGATTTCCTTCACCTCAAAACAAAGACATTTCTTACTCACACCAACAACCCCTTGGAAAAAGCTATTGGCTATCATAAATGAGACAAATCCAGCAGTCAAAACCAGTGAAACGCCCAATCTAGAGAACGCCAAATTTCTACTAATTATAGGACGCAAAATGATGCAAAGTGTCCTAAGCTGAGTCTTGGTTATGGAGACAAATAATTAGTTTCAGCATGTTTTAATAACCTTCACACATAAATAAATAATCTTTAAAGTTACATATTCTATTTATCTCATCATCTTAAGAATGAAAAATACTAAAATTCTCTATGATACTAAGAACCGAAATTCTCTACGATCTTTGTTGGTGGCTAATTTGGTTAAATTTAATATCACAAGGAAGCAAAATTCATATGTGACTTAGGGTTCTAAAATAGTAGTTCTCAATTAAAATAGGATAATTACATTCTTATATTTGTTATTGAATTATAATCGATCTAATTCCTTGAAGGATTAGAATAGAAAAACAAGATTTGTGAGCAATAGAGTAGCAGGAGAAGGGACACTTACAAGCTTAAGGGATAGATGGTATCTGAGAGATAAATTCAAGTCCTCGTTCCACTCTTGATTCAAATTACTCCTTTTCTATGAATAAAGAAAGTTAGTGATGAGATATTGGATATACAGAATCAATATTTAAAATGAACTAATTGTACAGTACAAATTAATACTGTAAAAAGCAAATTTAACGATTATTTGTTATGGTGTCAATCGAAGACACTACGATTCAGGAGATCCTAACTAGATGTAGTTACATTGTCATTGCTAACGAAAAAAAAAGTTCTTATAAAATATGACTAATTGATAAAGCAACGCAAGAGATGTTTTTCAAGACCAATAGCCAATTTCTCTACATATAAATAATTCTCCCATTTGCTTTTCCACTTCAGTGATATAACCCACGGAAGGGAAATTTTGGGTTTCTCATTCACTAATCCCGCCAAAAAAAAAAGGAGACAGGTCCATGAATTTGAAAAGAGATGTAAGAACACATGGAAAAGATCATTTCCTGCTCTTTGTAGCAAAAATTGCCTATAGAAAATGTCTGCAATCCTTGCACATCTATGATGTAATTACCTAAGTCGAAAGATAAATAAATACTTGATTATAAAATAGAAATAATGAGTGCTACCAACTGAGCCAACAAGTACTTCTAGATGTAATTTATCCTAGTTTATAGACATGAGACTAGCCGAGTGGTACTCTTCGTTGAAGCACAAAATGGAATAGAAGAAAAAAAAAACGAGGCTGTAATGCAATAAGTAATGTCAAACCACCTATAAAACATAGGATACATTATCATTGATCTTTTTCATCTCAAATTTACTACAACGAACAATTTTCTTTGGCTACTAAAACTAGGTATCAATTGAAGACAAAAATTCAGTGGCATTAGATGGGCTGCGGAGCCAATTTTGTGAGCCACACATCCATATCCTAATTAATATAATTCTGCTACAGAGCCTAGCGTTTCGAAAGGCACCAAAAGTGAATAGGAATACAGGATCATCTGTTCAAGAAAGATCCAGTGATCTAATATGACCACATTAATGTGTCATGTGCAAATCATTGGTATGTTCGACATCCTTTCCTTTCCTTGCCAAATGAACGTAGTCTCAATAAATCATAACCCAAACAATTAATCGAACAGGTGGGGGAGATGGCTAATCTAAACGATTCTGAGGTGACCTTGATGTGGGAAAATCCAGAATCGAAGGAGCAAAGGCAATGCGGGATGAAAAAAAAATTTGAGAGGGCAGGAGTGAAGATTACCTGATCGCCCTGAGGACGATGACGACGAACGCTGGACGAGGTCGACGCCAACCACCGCCCTGACCCGGAGATGCCCAACCACGTTTCCCATTACTTTCTCGATAGATGGGTGGGTTGGAATCCCCGCTTGTTCTCTCTCGCTCGTGACCGAAAGACACACACCGAAGATGACAACAAGCGAATTAGAAACGGCAGGCACAGAACTTGTGCGGGAGGGAGGAGGCCAACGAAGGGGGTCGACGGCCAGAGTGCCGTCATAATATTGGTGGGATCGGTAGTTAGGATCTCGGGTGTTCGCGGCCGAGCGACGAAAACAGAGGAATCCGAGTCCTAGTGGTTCTCAGCCGTGGACCCCAGAGAGCTTATGCATCAGCTTCTCTCGCTATACTAGTTTTGTAAATGTAAAATAACACTATTTTCAAAATTTACAAGTGTATATATATATATATATATATATATATATATATATATATATATATATATACCCATAGTTTTTGTTAAAAGAAATTTCCACTCAAATTATTCATTTCTTAGAAACATGCCTAATAATTCACATGAATGCTTCTCCAGTTGTATGATCCAACTTGGGCACAAGAGGAACAAAGAAGAAGACAAGGCAACATCTCGAGTCTCTTCGATGCCATTTGCCTGTGCCACCGGCATCAAGTTATCATCATAGGCATGACCTTTTGTCCCTCGCTTTACCCTATTCTTGTTCTTCTTCAAAAATCAAGATCAAGATAGAGATAACTCAACGGTAGGTATAAAGTCTTTTCTAATTAGACCGAATATGAACCGCATGTTCATCAACATCATGAAACGGAGAATCAAACTTGCTCCATTTACTTCAGTTTTCTATACCTGCAATTATCCGTCTCCCTCTGCACGCAACCGAGTGGAATGGCTGGCCACGATGTTGTAAGAAAACGAAGTTGGTACATCAAAATATACAAAATTGGGTGACAAATCCACGAGATGCAGTCAAAAGAGAGAGAACGTTAGATTGGAAAGTGGTGCAAGGCAGCCATGCGAGGGTCATCGAGGGGTCCCGCCCCAAAGGACAACGTTGGGGGAAAGGTGGAGAACAGTAGCAGCGGGAGGGGAGGAAAGGCGTGGCGGTCAATGCTTATGCAGGGGGTGAGAAAAGACTGGTAGGTTTTAGGTGGAGGTGGTCGTATGGGCAGGGCACAGCGCCGCGCAATTAGTGCGCTCAACGCCGTTGGTCGCAGGCCGCCCACTCTTCCATCCTCTGCTACAGCACCATGTTCTTCTCTTCTTCAGGTTTGCCCTTTCGCTCTCTGGAGTGCCGTCGTCTTTGGTTTTATGTCGACCTGAATCGTCTTTTGATTAAGCAACCTCTCTTTCCTTTGTTTATGCCTCACGAGGCACCGCCCATGGCCACGGCACGTGCACGCGTGACTCTCTGGCTGTAGTTTATGCTCTGCCGCCAGTGTTCATGTCGATTCTTGCGTTAAAATTGCCCCTCGATTCTATCATAATATTCCTTCCAAACCCAAGGCTTAGCCTGTGCATCTTTACCGGGGGAGGGAGGTCACCGTTGGTGTACTACATCAGAACGGGGGATGCTTTACGTAGCCTCATGCAAGGCCATGAGAGCGCCGAGATGTGGTTCGAAGCAGGTGACAGTAGTAGAACAGGATCAATTATAACATACAAAATAGGCTGGGTTTGTATTTAGTTGGGAAATGCTTGGGAGAACCTTAAAAATCTGCTACAGATCTTGATGTAAAATGTGTTCGAGTTGTTGATTTGGTGAATAACAAATGCCTTTCAGCTTTTGACGCCACTGTCGATATTTTGGGTCTGCTTTAGGGTTAACTCAAGGTTGAAAGTAAAGGAACGGCTACAGCCATTCGCATGCAAATAAAGAAAAAGAGCTATCCAGTATCCACCTCGGGTTAAGTATTGTTTTAGTTGTCCGAAAGCAGTAGTCCGACACCAAAAGGTCCAAAATCTAAACAAAAACCATTATTCTGCAACTTTTCTCAACTGTTGCCAGGCCACCGGGAGGAAGAAAAGAGTTGATCCAAGCTTCTCTGCTGCAAAAACACAAGTGTGGAGAGCACTGAGAGCAGAGACACAAGGGGACCAGGCATTCTCTTCTGCTCACCTTCTTCTTGGGGGGTGAGGTTTTAGTTTTCCTGTGGCATGAGAGGGTATAACGATCGATAGGGCGGGTTCGGTAGGAGAAGAAAGAAGTGGAAACGAGGGAAGCGTTAGGGAGACAGAAATGGTGGGCTCAGGAGGAGGGGACTGTAGGAGCAAAGAGGCAATGGGGATGATGGCTCTCCACGAGGCTCTCAGGAACGTCTGCCTCAACTCCGATTGGGCATACTCTGTATTCTGGACCATCCGCCCTCGCCCGTACATCTCTCGTCTCTCTCTCTCTCTCTTCGCTTGGTTTTCTTCACAAGCTCAGCTCTCCGATTCCTTTTTCTCTGTCGCTCAAGTCGTGCTTGCTATGAACAGGAGGAGTAGAGGTGGCAATGTCTGCAAGGTCGGTGCCGACGACAACGGCAGCCTGTGAGTTCCGATCATAAAACTTGTTTTCTTCCGTAAGGAGCGGTTTTACGTTATAAGATTCTTCCCGTCATTTGTTTGGATCGTGGGGATTACAGGATGCTGATGTGGGAGGACGGGTTCTGCCGGACGAGAACAGCAGAGTGCATGGAGGGGATGGACGTGGAAGACCCCGTCAGGAAGGCCTTCAGCAAGATGTCCATTCAACTGTACAACTATGGAGAAGGGTGGGTACTCGGTAGGTGTTGTTTGCTGCAAACTAGGACTAACAACATCACAGAACTCCCATCTCGATCCACATCTTTGTCAAATCTTGTTAAAAAATCTGTTTTAGATCGTATCTTTCGTTAACAATGGGCACTAGTATATCGATATGAGAAGCCAAAGGGTGCAAGTCGTTGCTCATCTGGGACAAGGAAAAGAGGGAGATTGTGCTGATCTTTTGCTTTTTGATTTATGCACAGTTTGATGGGAAAGGTTGCCTCTGATAAGTGTCACAAATGGGTGTTCAAGGAACCTTCCCAGTGCGAACCCAACATCTCCAGCCACTGGCAGAGTTCCTTTGATGCTGTAAGCAGCCTTCTCCAATTTATGCTTTGCCTTTTTCTTTACTGGATGACACCTAATGAAAGGGAGAAGTGCTCTGAACACCCTTAGGGTTCTTTGCTTCGTAATTGTACCTGCAAAAGAAAGAGAATTGGATGCCCGTTGCTCTTCTTGCTGACTGTCACTTTATTCTTTGTTTTCCTTTGGTCGATGCAGCTTCCCTCCGAATGGACTGATCAGTTCGCCTCTGGCATTCAGGCAATCCTCATGCTCCTGATTCCCCCCCCATGGAACATTGTTTTCCTCACAAGCCCACCTTTAGCTAACTTTGTCGTCTTTTGAGCAGACTATAGCTGTGATTCAAGCAGGGCATGGGCTTCTACAACTAGGTTCCTGCAAGATTGTGAGTCTCGAGAACCAAGATCTTTAATTCTGTGTTTGTGAATTGGAAGTTCAAGAACTGGATACTAACATCTCATTTTGGTCATTCGGATTCGGATGCCTTAGATACCCGAGGACCTGCATTTCGTGTTGAGAATGAGGCATACGTTTGAATCACTTGGCCATCAATCTGGCTTCTTCCTCTCTCAGCTGTTCTCCTCGACCAGGAACAGCTCCACTTCGTCTGTTCCAACGAAGCAGGTGCCTACTCCCTGTCCGCCGCCATTCTTCAGCTGGGATCACTCTTCCATCCATTCGGCCTCTCCGATCACGATGCCCTCCGTTTATCAACCTCCGACTCACGGAGGATTGCCCGACGACGAAGACGGCACCCATCTCTTCCTCCCTCGCTCCTCCGGAGCCCATTTGGATGACGCGACAAGGCAGCACGAAACAGACCTGCGCTGGCCTAATGGGCTGTCGTTGTTCACTGCTCTTACCGGAAGGGCAGATGACGCCAAGCTTCTCTTTGGCTCCGAGGAGATGGGAAACGAGCTACCACCACAACAGCTTCCGTTGTTGATTCGTGGGAAGAATCCAGCTTCTAAGTCTGCTATGACCCGTTACGGCAACGCCGATGAGACGAAGGCTGTACCTGATGCGATACTTGGCGAAGATGATACCGAGGACTTGTTCAGTTGATCAAATTTGCTGCCTTCGTACCTTCCAGAGCAGCCTTTATATGTATTTTGATGGAGCTTAAGATCGAACTGCTCGTGTGACGCCCGCTGATGCCGTTCTTTGTTTCTCGAATAGGGTGAAATGTATGACGATGATCAGTCAACTAAGTTCAGATGATCAACCGAGTCCATCTCTTGTACGGTCAGAAATGGATTCTGGTGTTTAGTTTGCTATTTTTCTTTCACTTTCTCTGGTCAGTTTAAGCTGTATAAATCCTTGCCAGAATTCAGGAGAGTAGCGATATAAATGCTGGGACTAGGAAAGAAGCTCGAATCAGAAGATTTCTATGGTCAATTTAGCTCGACCATTATTACATGATGCTTAACCCATTAATTATGATCCCATCCAATGAGATGTCTATCTATTAATATCTCAACTGCTTGTTCAAAATACTCGTCCTCGGTTACTAGTAAGAGGAATAATAAGACTAAATTGAGATATTATAATTCTTTATAATAATAATAATAATAATAATAATCAAGATTCAATTTAAGTACTTACACATAACTTTCAGAGTTGATATGGCATATTTGGGCCCCCAAATAAGTCATCACCGATATCACACGTTGTGTCCCAACCAATATCAAAATCCAACGCCTCATGCCATCGAAACCCCATGACGTATGTCAAGTCAGGTTCTGTACCAAGATACTATGCAACACGACTGTCTCGAGGGCTCGAGGCGGTACCATCTGACGTCGCTCAAGCATCCCCCAAGACACTAGCTCATCAAAAAAGTCGTCCCATCCCGCAAGGGTCAATGGCCACACCGAACCTAGGTGCAACCAATCCTCACACAATAGTATATAAATCCTTGAACGACGCCCGGCCAAGGAGGGAGAAAAACTCAATATAAAATATTCCACTAACTTACTCATCGAAGGGGCCAAAGTTGGGAAGCACCCGACGAATGCCATTTTGTAGGAAGACGGACACCCCGAGCGATGAGCATCTCAATCCGGGAATTACCATCCAGTACATAAGGATGCGCTGCCATTCATCCCGGAGTCAGAGAGACGCATTCCACCACAAACAGCGTCCGAGTCGGCAAACCGAGAAACTCAGATCAACATCCTCTCACAAGGGTCCAGTCGACTCCACTAGCCCGACTCTTGTCCGAGTTACTCCGAAATGACCACTCCCGACCGACGAATGTCTCGATCCAGAAGGCTCCTTCCATCGCACAAAGGAGAGCAGTGAGTCGACCTGGATCCCGATCAACGTTAACCAACATTTCTTTCGGAGGGCGCAGCCACTTCATCATCCTACTGACCCTGCAAGAAGCTCTCGACATCGACTTGTGAACCTAACCGTGCTGACTTATCACAGTATTTTTGTTCACTAACAAAAATAAATATAATTTTATCATAGGGATGAAATGATTTTTATTCAAATACTTTTTTGTCTTGTATCTCGGTCTAATCTGTCACATATCATTCCCGAACCAGATAAAAGGTAATGCAATTATTTTCCTTTTCTCACTCGTCTCGATGTGAATAATCTATGAGAATATATAATATAATATACATAGTTCCATACCTTCATTTAAAAAAAAAATACTTTTTAATAATATTAGGTGTTATAAATCAATTCAATTATTCGATATATATATATATATATATATATATATATATATATATATATATATATATATATATATATATATCGACCCAATAAGACGAGTTGAGGGCCCGGCCCATATACCATCGGATAAGCCGGTGGCTTCCTCTCCCGCTTTCCTCCCGTTTCGCTCCCCACCACCACTCTCCCCACCGCAATCCATCAAAATTGATGGCTCTTTCTCTCTCGTCGCCGCCCTTCAAGACCCCCGCTCTCCTCCACCACGGGAGCCCCCGGACGTATCTCTCTCCTCTCCTTGGGACCCGTCGTCCCTCCGTCTCCTTCTCCCCCTCCTCCGATCGCCCCCTGCGCCTTCGCTTCCACAGACTCCACAGCCAGAGACTCGTCGCCTCCGTCGGAAAGGAGGAGACGGAGCTCCGCGTCGCCGGCGATGAGCTGTCCGACGCTAGTCCCGAGGACCTCGCATGCGTTCGAGAGATTCAAAGAGTCGCTCTCTTTCTCCTCTCGATTTCTTCTTTCTTTCTTTTTGGAAATTCTTGATCCTATCGCTTCCATGGCGGAGAAGTGTTCGTGACTTGCTGTTCGATTTTGGTAGGTTTTGGAGCTGCTCAAGAAGAACAGAGACATGCTCTTTGGTGAGGTAAGGCCATCTTATCTTGGTTCCCTTTGGTTCTTTGCCCTTTAATTTACTGCTGCCATGGAATGGTTATGGTTATGTACTACTGCAATATGATGTTCGTGTTTATTCGTTGTCCTATTCCTCTTAAGTCATCGTTGAACTCGTGGAACCTAGGTAGCTTCTTGAAGAGGGGATCTCTTTTTATCTATGAAGTATCATCATGTCAAATCCCAAGCTTTATAAACACACATATGATCAAGATTTGAAGTTGATGGTCCGTTTAGGATTCTTGGAGGCCTTTATTCTTCTTTGCATGGTAGCCCTGCATTAGTCATCGTAATTTTACACCACTGCCATAGAAAATAGATTGCTGCAGTTTGCACTAAGGAACTGCAATTCTGGTGCGATAGTCTAGCGTTCAAGTAGTTGAGTTTCAGGGTATCTAATCCTCCACCGGCAGGGTGTTGCCCATATGATGGAGAATGTCAGCCATCAACCATGTCTTCTTTTTTATTTATCTCTTTCTTACTTTTCTTTTTCCTTGCCACAATTTATACCCAACCCCTACCCCTTTAGTGTCCGGATAGAAGGAGATTGACTAGCCAGGGTAATTTCATCTATGCTCGACACATATTGCCCTGATCGGGCTGGTACATGGATGTTGGATAGTTAAAATCTGGATAGGTGATTGTGGTAGTAGGTCCACTCATAAGGGGAATACCTGGTTTGAGTTTGTTAGCTATTGCATTTCTCAAGAACAAAATCTTGTGGATGTAATTATTGATCAAAGTTGGAAAACACTAGAGTATTTTACTGAGTGGTTGTTTTAATTTTCTTCAGAAGAATGTGATGCAATTGTTTTTAGATTTTCAGAGAAGACGAAACAATGAGTAGCACCATGAGGTTGGTTTCTTTGTTGTAGTTCAATGTGGTTGGCTTCTTTGTGAGTTACCTACTTTATATCCAGTTAATCAGGACAATCTGTCCAAGCCTCACTTTCTTGTTCTGTGTGGTATAATATATGTGTAATATATGTATCTCACAGTAGCTATCCCACTGATTTCCCTATGTACCGAAGGCTGAACCTTGTTGTGTCATATGAACCACTTAGTTTGCACTGTATGTTGAAGTTAAATCTTCATTGTGCCATCAGATTTTAGCTATTTGAATGCCTTCAGACAGAGAAATTCTCAACTACTGTTTGTGAGAAACTATCCGATGCTCTACTCTAACTTTGAAGAACAAGGACAACTTTTTGCTAAGTTGGTCTAAGGATTAGGATATGCAGGTTCATCTTATGAATTAGTGGAAGTTAGATTCATTTGGAATTCAATTTAAAGGGTTAGTAGATACATCACGTGTTAAAACTTGATTGGTTGTTTCACATCATATGTCATTTGACATATTTAATTGCTCAAGATTGTTTATGACGAAGTACTGCAAACATATGGGAAATTTGAAAACAGCTCCTTACACATTGGGCCCCTCATGACATTGGTGTCTGACGTGTTATGCATGTTTGTGAAGTTCTGATTGACTTCCTGGAAAAGTCAATTCAGATATTTTGCTATTAAGCTACCAACTGTGATACCTGTGAACTCTGTTGTAATGGCCATTACTTATGCTTGACAAAAAAAAGGACTTTTCATTCTCGTTTGTCTACAACTGCTGCAGCTCTTGGGTTGCTTAGTTGACTAATTGAGTTTTATGTAGGAGAATATGATATTTTGGGTCATTTTTTTATTTAAAGTTGGTTTGTTGTTTAGTTAAAAGCTTTTCTATGATTTGAAATGGCATCTGGAAACCCTATGCTTGATAATTCTCTTTGACATTTGATATTTTTGAATCAAAACCTTAGGCATCTTTATTCTTCTTTGACATCACCAGGTTAAGTTGACAATACTGATTGAGGACCCTAGAGATGTTGAACGTAAGAGATTGCTTGGAATAGAGGACCCAGATGACGTCACCAGGGAGGACTTGGTTGCTGCCTTGGAAGATGTATGTGCTTCAGCTTTGTAAGATGCTAACTTCAACTACTAGAAATTTAATGTGGCTAATTCTCTTTGTCAGTTATCAGAACTTTGGAAAATTAACATTAGTGTCCACTTCTAGAAATTTAATGCTAAATTAACGTTAATGCCTGATCGAACTCTAATGATAGCAGAATTTTAGGAGAGGTTCATGTAATTGCCTCTAAGGTTTGCATGGCTGCAAGCTGCTGGATGACTGTAAGAGTATGCACCTGTGTGTAGACAAGTGACTGCATGTGAAGTCTGTTTATGAAGACCATGAGGTTGCAAATGCAGAAGTGGATGTATTAGTTATCATATTGTTATTATGCCATCATAAATGAAAAATGCTAATATCTTTCTTAAAGTTTTACCTGATTCTAATCACCAATTACTTAAAAATATAATATAATCTATTTCATGAGCAAAAATTCTTGATCTGACAGTAGTATATCTTATGTGTTTGTTCTTTATGCTTGATTCTCAGTTATGCACTATGTAATTTCATGTTTGCTTGGAAACTGCAGCTGCTTTTTAGGGTTTATTCAGATTATGTCTACTGTTGTTCATATTGTACTTGTAATAAAAAAATTTATACAATTTCATGCTAAGCCATGGTATAAGACAAGGAACTTATCGATGACTAAAGCCAGGTAGTAATAGATATTATAGCCAGTCGCCTATCGGCCAACAAAAATGAGTTGATGACTTTTTATATCACTAAGTCTATATTATTAGCTTTTTAATAAACTGTTGTCACTTAAATAATCTGTAGGTGAATGAAGGGAGGATTCCAAAAAACCGTGTAGCACTTCAGTTGCTTGCAAAGGAGATGACTGAATGGCCTGATCTTGAGGTGCAAATTTAAATTTATCTACCAAGTTCCAAGTGATATCACTTCTGTAACAATTTGTTATAACATATGATTCTATTACAACTCATGCTTTTGGTTCAGAATGAAAGTGATTCATTCATTTTATAGCTAATCAAGTGTACTTATTCATAAAAGTTGGCTTTGCTGTGGAGTCTAGAAGTGCTATTCCTTTTTCCTTGTTATTACTCAAAACTGTAACTGATAAAACCTATTATCTTTCATGTGCATTTTTAATCCATTTATCTTTATTTGTTTACACTGTTTTTATTTACAACCGAATTATTCCTGGAGATAAGCC